ACTGACTGTTACTGACTGTAACTGACACAGAATCATGGAGAAAACCTTCTGACCCCGTGTGTGGAAACTAAAGCATTGAATGATTTCAATGACAGTCAGAGGACGTCTCATGTCTCCTCACACTCTCGGCTCTCATCTTTTATCTCTCATTCTTTCTCGAGACTAAGATGTTAAGACGTTACTGAGGGAAGATGGATGCTGTGAAGGAAACATATCTGCATCTCTAAGATTTCACAGAAAAACTTTTGGACGACCGTCAGCGTGAAATGAACCTAAAGTTTTGAAACGAGGAAGCTGCAGGTTCAGATATGCGCTGTGCTCGATTGATCGGTGAAGTCCCGTTAACGATCCTTCGTTTCCCTCAAGTGTCCGAGCAGCCCAACTTTCCTGGAACATTTAGAATTCGTAGAGAAGAAATTTTTATTAAAGGTCACCTCAGTGGACTTAGTTTAACTGAACTGTTGAAAACTGTGAGGCTGGAAAAAACAATTTCATTATCAACACACACACACACACACACACACACACACACACACACACACACACACAGACATCTGGAATATCTGACAACTGACCGAACCTGAACTCTGGTTTGTCCATCGGGGGAAAGCGGAGCAATCGTTGGCTGATTCCTGGGTTTGTGCTGGCACGAGTCCAGAGCTGCGGGAGGAGGACGGCTGCGCTGCTCTCAGACCCCCACAGAAACACCAGATAAAGTGGGACATAAAAGAGCGTTTTCTTCCAAAGGGGGATAAATCACTCTAATATGGGTCGGAGTCGTCGGATTAGCATCGTACGGAGGTAATTGACCTCATCTGCAGCCGGGACAGATAGCCGCCATTTAGCGTGCCGACTGCTCAGCGCTCAGCCGCGAAGCGAGGAGTGAATCATGTCAATTAGAAAGCAGAGGAAGCTGCGAGGAAACAGCCCGAAAAAACAAGAAGGAGAAAAAAATCAAACCAAACCCACGACATTGAATACAATTAGTGCTCCTCCGCCGCTAACAGGTGTTCCCTTCAATTTACTTCCTGCACCCCATGTCGCGTTCGTGCCACATTTATGCTCGGATGCATAGCTAATAAAAGACAAGCCGTCCTGATTGATATTTAATTTGTCGGAGAATGAGGATTCCTTGTTATCCTTGAGGAAAAAGGCAGTGGGGGGGCGGCGGAGCACTCGGCAGTTAAAGGCGGCGTGGCCTATAAATAATAAACAGCTCTGGAGCCGCACTAATGTTTGTTTTTGCTGAGGGGGGGACGAGTGTCGCCGGGACGAGCTACAGAAAACATAAATACACTACAGGGACATAAACAATAACACAATTCATTTACAGCAGATTATTAAGAATCAGCTCTTTTCTTCCTTTTTATTTTACAAGCTCACATCTAATTAGCATAACATGCTAATGCATGCATGTAACAGTCAGTTCTGCTCAGACTCATGTAAGAAGACAAAAAATTAGTGTGTGTGTGTGTGTGTGTGTATCCGCAGCTCATTAGTGTTTGTCTCAGCAGAGTTACATGACAGTTCTTTGTGTGGTTCTTGTTTTTTCAGGCATCAGGACAGAACAGGATCTTTACGTTCGACTCATTGACTCCATGACCAAACAGGTGAGAACGTCCACAAAAACAGAACCTGAGCTCCTGTCAACAAACATGTACATAAACAAACATGCATCATGTATGTAAACAAACATGTATCATGTATGTAAACAAACATGTACATAAACAAACATGCATCATGTATGTAAACAAAGATGTACATAAACAAACATGCATCATGTATGTAAACAAACAGCATGATAAACAACATTATGAACAACGTGCTGAAGGTGACACCCAGCAGGGATGATTCATGAACATGTGATTTGAGGGGAGGGATGAAGCAACATAAAGACAAGACGATCAGGATCATACTCCGACTGTGAGTAAAGATGGACGACATGAAAGTGATGCCAATTCATCTCAATCGCCCCCTGGTGGCTGGCTGCAGTATAGGTCATAAACTTGCCTCCTCCATGTGAGCAGATGGGACCAAACCGAGAAAATCAAAGGAGGCGTTAAAGGTTAAAAGGCGTTTGTCAAAGATGATTTCTGTCATTTCTGGTCTGACTGCAAATGACGTGATCACCACAAGATCCAGCGTTGACTTCTGGGATATTTAGGCGTCATGACCGGAGAAAGTGGAGACGTGTCGTCCATCTTTGTTTACAGACTGTGTGCTGAATCATGTTCCTTCAAGAAACGATTTGTGTTTCTGTAACAGAAAATCTTTTTTCTGAAATGTAACCTCTGTCTCATGAAAATGCACAAAGCAAAAAGTAAAGCAACATTTCCTACTCACGCTGGATGTGGTCGACCAATCACAACAGAGTGAACCAGCTGACCAATCAGAGCAGACTGAGCTTTATGAGGAGAAGGTACTTAAAGAGACAGGAGCTAAAACCAAGTGCTTGAGACAGAGGCTGAAAAGAGGAGCTGCAGCGATGGACAGTCTGAGGACAGAGATGATTTAACCTCAAAGACCTTCTGCTGAAGAAACTCCCTGAAACATTTGTTGTAACTCTTTCCTCCTCTTCGTCCTCCTCACTTCCCTAAACTTGAGGAGCCCTGATTTGTTTCCCTGTCCAGCCGCAGAGCTCAGTCTTCAGCTGACTGCACCCCCCCCCCCACTCTTCCAGTTTTCTCTCACTCGCAGCCCCTGTGTGGGATTTGAACCTGTGAACGGCTTCCACGCCAAAAAAAAACTTCCAAATATTTCCAGATCCCAGTGTTTTCTGCTTTATTTTGGATGAGAAACACTTAAATCTAGAATGTGGCAAACACCAGCAAGAGAGACGAATCATTTTGAATTATAGTAAAGCACGTGTTGTTTGAGAATTACTTTCCCAAGTTACACATGAATAAAACACATTTTTATCAGAGGTGTGACGTTAAATGTTTAAATGAGATGGAAAAAAATACTCCAAAATTTAGGGTAAAAATGAAACGCTTGTGTGTTAATTCTTTATCATTATTGTTTTATTTTAAATGTTTTAATTTTAAATTGCAGCTTTGATTATTTAAAAAGAATGAATTGAATTCAGTGAAGTTTGACTCAAGTGTGAATATTTGTAATATAAGTTTCCACAGAGTCTTAAGAAGTTAAGAATGTTAAATGTTATAGGTGAAAATATTAAAGAATAGGTCTTAAATATATTTAGGTTTGTGTTAATTATGTAACGTTCATTCATAACGTTCAAGTCTTAAATATAATGACCCTGTCTCTTTAAATGAGATATTTTGAAGATAAATATTTGGTGACATGTAAAGTCTGTAATGTCTCCAGGTTTATTCTCTACTCAGCTACTTCACCATGAAGTGTCAGTAATGTTCCTCCATATCATAGATCTGATGAAGATGATGATGAAGATGATAATTAGGAGGTGGGTGATGATGGTAATGAGGATGGAACAGTGAGGACAAAGTGTTGGATCTGAGAACCTTCGGAGTATTTCTTTTGAAACTGAATAATCTCCAAACCTCATCTCAGCTTTACCTCCCACTTATTTACGCCCGCACCCCCTCGCCCCACCCGTCATATCACCCCCTCCCCTGCTGGTTTGGCCCTGTCGGCATGTCACCGATCGATGTACCGAGCGGCTCCTCGACACAGCGTCAGCCGTGGAAACCGATCAATAGGCCCTAATGTGGCGCAGCGACGGCACACTGGAGACAATAATCCTGACACCTCTTCGTCCATGATACCCCCCACACACACACCCACACACACACGACTCAACCTTCACCTCCCACTACATGACACCCCATTGGTCGACAGTCAGACCTGACAGACAGGTCGGCTGGAGGCCCCATGGATCGATAAGACGCCGTCGAGGGCCTGTTAGGGGCCCTGCATCCGTGGGATTGTCAGATTGGACTGCGGAGCGACGCGGCGCCTGAGCGGCAGATTAACTTTTATACAGCGAGTTACATCACACAGAGACGCAGCAGCGGAGGTCCACGAGCGAGGAACAGACAAAAGAAACATTTGCTGTTATGATTATTATTTATATTGACAGATTTTATACACACAAACACTGAAAGTTCATCCTAACACGTATGAAGAACATGAGACATATCATACCACAACAGTACATATCAGCGACATGTGATCAAAATAACATGAAACAAACTGAGACGTCACAGATTATAAGAAGATATTCAGCTACAGTGTCTTCATGATGACTGAACACTAACTGAGGACTCACTCACAAATAACATATTTAACATCTGAGCTACAGGATGTATTTATAAGGACCTTCAAAGTTAAAAATGTCCATGTCGTTTTTAAATTCTTCTCTGAAACTAATTTCATCTGTTTTTTAAAAACTCAGCCTGGTCCTCACAAAGACAGAAATAAAACACACACTCACAGTAGAGTGTGGACTTTAACACACAAATAACCATGAAAGTGGACAAGCAGTCACACACACGGGATTGTTGCATCAGGAATGATGATGTATAAATATCGACCAGCAAATCTACACAGGCTGTGTGTGTGTGTGTGTGTGTGTGTGTGTGTGTGTGTGTGTGTGTGTGTGTGTGCGCGTGTGTGTGTGTGTCTGTGATGCAATCCACATCCCTCCTGGTCAAACTGGAGCATTTTAATCCACAGGAACAGAGCCAGGATCAGGATCAATAATGCAGAAGTGGTCGTTATCCTAAAAGTATTGTCCCCCAGGGGTGTGTGTGTGTGTGTGTGTGTGTCTGTGCGCAGGGTGGAGGTCTGTTTTGACTATAAAGGTGGATGAGGTAGTGGTAGGTCATCGTAGGAAAAGATGGGGGAGGACACACACACGCACACAGACACACATGCTCTTACTGGAGTTCATTTACAACCACGAGGGTATTACAACACACACACACACACACACACACACACACACACACACACACACCCCTACCTCCCTTCTCTCAGCGGTCATCCGTCATCCGGACGCTGACATGACAGCTCTGTGGGGGTGAGGAGGGGGGAGGGGGTGGGGGGGTGTTAAGGGGGGCTTCATCTTGGGGCGCCGCCCGCCATCTGGCAGGGAATTCTGGGAAAGCCAGAGGAGGCTGGGACCACCAAAGGGGGATGTGGTGGTGTCAGTGTTCTGAGCTGCCATTTTTGTGTAACTGTAAGGAAGTGGTTGGAAGCCATGTTTGATTTGTGGAGGGCGGGGGGGTAAAGTAACATCTGTACTCGTCAACACGTCAGCTACTAACACATCTGTTCAAATCACATGTTCATTAATCAACTTGATCTGATTAAACACAACACAACTGGTTCAACTGCACAGTCAATGATTCCCAGGTACAGCTAATGGTTTATATGTGCAGTAAACTGGTGTAAACTGGTTTATATGTGCAGTAAACTGGTGTAAAC